AGCGCCCATTTCCTATCAAGAACCTGCTTAATATGACGTAATGTAACTCATACCCCCTCTGCTACAAACATGGTCGTAATATCAGTCAGCTGTTCGTTTCCATTTTTACAACATTAAGGAGCGCGATAAAACTTGAAAATGCGATGGACAAGGACAAATCGACTAACACTCTCCACTGCTATCGATTTGCTTTCGTCTGCTAATTATCTAGAATGAATTGCAGATGACAGAATTTGCAAAGGGAGTTTAGAAAGGAAGAGTTAGGTGCACAAGGGAGCAGATTTGATGAGTTCTATGTTTTGAAAAGCTATAGGGAAAAATTTTAGACTAAAGTGATTTGTGCGGATAGAATCCCAGATAACAGGAAGAGAAATTTAGGGCAACCAAATGCAGTGAGACGAAACAGAAAGAGTGAGGAACAGAAAAAAAACAGTGCAAAAATTTCTTTTTAAATAGCAGACAATAAGATAAAAATGAATACGGTGAATGAATAGATCTAGACTCTATCGAAATGATTTGAAAAAAAAAAACTATCAACGGGAAAGAAATAGGCCAATCAGAGAAGGTTTATTTCTAAAGAAACCAACCTCTTCAAATGATCCGCTTGACCGACAATCTTGTTTAGGAAGTCAACCTTAGCTGAAATGGATGCAGTAAATTAGCTTCAAGCAAGCTATTCCAAAGGTTTCTATGCACGCATAGGTGCATAAACAGAGTAGGTGGCGCCATGAGGGGAGGAGATTAGCGAGCCCATACCTCACCACGTCAATGTTAGCTGCTATCATCTGCCACTCAGATGCATCCCACTGTAGCCTAAGCAACACGTCCAGCTGTGGCTTCTGCCTGTTCCTATCCTTCACCTCCTTCTTATTCTTCATTAACTTCTCAGGGTATTGATCAGAAAAAAAAGTTTTTTTATAGAGATGACCCCATGACCAAAAAGCACCTTTAATGCGGCAAAGATCTATCTCCACTAACTTAACTACTCCAAAACCTTGCGTTCACCTTTCCTCCCTATGTCGCGGGCTTCGTCGAGTTCTTGTGGAGGGATTCCGGAAAAAATCCAACTGCAGTCGGTAGGTCGTATCCACAGAAGGAAGCTGACAACGAAGACGCGCATCGCCAGACTGCCAACTCTTGTCGCTCCACCTCCAAACGGTGAACTACGCTTGGTGGTGGTCGACGCCACGCCCAGCTCGGAATCGTCGCTGGCGTCGACGGCCAGTGTTGATAACAGTGGCATGTCATCATGCGATATAGCCGTCGAACCACGTACATTTGGAGGTGGAACACTGCTTCAGAGAAGGAGAACAAATAGAAAGGTACGGTAAGGTCTTCTGATATAGCCTCTTGCCAACTTTTCTTTTGTTTGATTCGAAAGTTTTTCATTTGTCTATTTTCATTTCCATCGCGAACTCTCACAATCTTTGTAGGCGTAAGCTACTTAATTCAAAAAAAAAGCACTTTTACCGCGATTAGATGGCTTCGGATTAAATGCAATCTCACCTGCGTGTCCTTATGATTAGCATAACTTGGTGGATTTATGAGAGAAGGGGCTTCAGTTCGTTGATCGTCAGCATTAGAGGTAACACACAAATGATGTAGAAGTTTTATGAAGCATGGATTTTTGGATTATATGTTTGAAAATTAAGCTTCTCTAGTTAACTCACGGGTAAAATAGCTACAAATGTGCGCATGTCATCCAGAAAACTCAAGAAAGTAAGTGAAGACCAATTGAAAATTATGTTCCAAATCTTATTGTCATTGAAGTGCAGTAAAGAAAGATGTGTAGTTTTTGCTAACATTCGTTAGAGGTTGTAAATGGTACCATTTTAACACAGCACTGCTTAAAAG